TGTTGTAGTTGTTTTATCTGCTTTGGTTATTTCTGTGGTTTGCTTAGACGTTGTTATTGGCCTCATTGTTGTTGCAGGTTTAACTTCTGTCGTTGGATTAGAGGTTGTAATTTCTTCCATGGTTGTGGTCGATTTCGTTGTTACTGGATTAACTTTTGTTGTTTGTCTTATTGTAGTTGTGGGATTTTCTGTTGTAGTTGTTTTAACTCCTTTGGTTATTTCTGTGGTTTGCTTAGACGTTGTTATTGGCCTTGTTGTTGTTGTAGGGTTAACTTCTGTCGTTAGATTATGGGTTGTAATTTCTTTAATGGTTGTGGTCGATTTATTTGTTGTTGGATTAACTTTTGTAGTTTGTCTTATTGTAGTGGTAGGATTTTCTGTTGTAGTTGTTTTATGTGCTTTGGTTATTTCTGTGGTTGTGGGTTGCTTATATGTTGTTGTTGGCCACATTGTTGTTGTAGGTTTAGGTTTTGTCGTTCGATTAGGGGTTGTAATGTCTTCCATGGTTGTGGTCGATTTAGTTGTTGTTGGATTTATATTTATATTTGGTTTCATGATTGTGGTTGGCTTAGTTGTTGTTGGATTAGCTTGTGTATTTGTCTTAATGTTGTGGTAGGTTTTTCTGTTATAGTTCCTTGAAGTGTTTCCATTGTTGTTAGATTAATCGTTTTAGTTGTTTTTATCGTTGTGGTTGGTTTAGCTGTTGTTGTGGGATTAACTTCTGCAGTTGGATTAAGGGTTGTAATATCTTTTCTTGTTGTAATCGATTTACCTGTTGCTGGATTTATTTTTGTAGTTTCTTCTATGGTTGTGGTTGATTTATTTGGTTTTGGATTAAGTGTTGTAGTTGGTTTCATCATTAGGGATGGCTTAGGCGTTGTTGTTGGACTAGCTTGTGTAGTTGTAGTTATGGTTGTGGTTTGTTTAGATGTTGTTGTGGGATTAACTTCTGTAGTTGGATTAGGTGTTGTAGTTTCTTCTATGGTTGTGGTTGATTTAGTTGGTTTTGGATTAAGTGTTGTAGTTGGTTTAATCATTGCGATTGGCTTAGACGTTGTTGTTGGATTAGCTTGTGCAGTTTGACTTAATGTTGTCGTAGGTTTTTCTGTTATAGTTGTTTGAACTGTTTGCATTGTTGTAGGATTAATTGTTGTAGTTGGTTTAGTTGTTATTGTGGGATTAACTTCTGTAGTTGGATTAAGGGTTGTAATTTCTTCCATGGTTGTTGTTGGGTTTCCTTTTGTAGTTGGTTTCATGGTTGTGGTTAGCTTGAACGTTGTTTTTGGATTAAGTGTTGTAGTTGGTCTCTTCATTGTGGTGGACTTAATTGTTGTTGTTGGATCAGCTTGTGTAGCTTGTCTTAATGTTGTGGTAGGTTTTTCTGTTATAGTTGTTTGAACCGTTTCCATTGTTGTGGGATTAATTGTTGTAGTTGGTTTAGTTGTTATTGTGGGATTAACTTCTATAGTTGGATTAAGGGTTGTAATTTCTTCCATGGTTGTTGTCGATTTAGTTGTTGTTGGATTTCCTTTTGTAGTTGGTTTCATGGTTGTGGTTGGCTTGAACGTTGTTTTTGGATTAAGTGTTGTAGTTGGATTCATCATTGTGGTTGGCTCAGTGGTTGTTGTTGGATTAGATTGTATAGTTGTTGTTATGGTTGTGGTTTGTTTAGCTGTTCTTGTGGAATTAACTTCTGTTGTTGGATTAGGTGTTGTAGTTTCTTCTATGTTTGTGGTTGATTTCGTTGGTTTTGGATTAAGTGTTGTAGTTGGTTTCATCATTGTGATTGAGTTAGACGTTGTTGTTGGGTTAGCTTGTGTAGTTTGACTTAATGTTGTCGTAGGTTTTTCTGTTATAGTTGTTTGAACTGTTTTCATGGTTGGTGGATTAATTGTTGTAATTTGTTTCGTCGTTGCGTTTGGTTTAGCTGTTACTTTTGGCTTGATTGTTGTTGTGGGATTAATTTCTGTAGTTGGATTAGGTGTTGTAGTAGCTTGTATGGTTGTGGTTGATTTAGTTGTTACTGGATTAAGTGTTGTAGTTGGTTTCATCTTTGTGGTTAGTTTAGTTGTTCTATTAAGATTAATTTCAGTAGTTGGATTATGTGTTGTAGCTGTTTTTATCCTTGTGGTTGGCTTAGCTGTTGTTGTGAGATTAACTTGTACAGTTGGTTTAGGGGTTGTAATTTCTTCCATGGTTGGGGTCGACTTAATTGTTGTTGTTGGATTAGCTTGTGTAGCTTGTCTTAATGGTGTGGTAGTTTTTTCTGTTATAGTTGTTTGAACTGTTTTCATTGTTGTTGGATTAACTGTTGTAGTTGTTTTTATCGTTGTGGTTGGCCTCATTGTCCTTGTAGGGCTAACTTCTGTCATTGGCTGAAGAGTTGTAGCTTCTTCGATGGATGTGGTCGATTTTGTTGTTGTTGGATTTACTTTTGTAGTTGGTTTCATGGTTGTGGTTGGCTTGAACGTTGTTTTTGGATTAAGTGTTGTAGTTAGTTTCATCATCGTGGTTGGCTTAGCTGTTGTTGTGGGATTAACCTCTGTAGTTGGTTTAGGTGTTGTAGTTTCTGCTATGATTGTGGTTGATTTAGTTGTTTTTGGGTTTACTGTTGTAGTTGGTTTCATCGTTGTTATTGTTTTAGCTGTTGTTTTTGGCTTGATTGTTGTAGTGGGATTATCTTCCGTAGTTGGTTTCATCATTGTTATTGTTTTAGCTGTTGTTTTTGGTTTGATTGTTGTTGTGGGATTAGCTTCCGTAGTTGGTTTCATCGTTGTTATTGTTTTAGCTGTTGTTTTTGGTTTGATTGTTGTTGTGGGATTAGCTTCTGTAGTTGGATTAGGTGTTGTAGTTTCTTCGATATTTGTAGTTGATTTAGTTGTTGTTGGATTAACTGTTGTCTTTGATTTCATTGTCGTGGTTTCCTTAACCGTTGTTTTTGGATCAACTGTTGTAATTGCTTTCATGGTTGTTGTTGTTGGCTTAGTCGTTGTTGTTGGGTTATCTTTTGTAGTTTCTCTCATTGTAGTGGTAGGATTTTCTGTTGTAGTTGTTTTATTTGCTTTGATTGTTTCTATGGTTGTGGTTTGCATTGACGTTGTTGTTGGCCTCATTGTTGTTGTAGGATTAACTTTTGTTGATGGATTGCGGATTGTAGTGTGTTCCATGGTTGGGGTCGATTTGGTTGATGTTGGACTAACTTTTGTAGTTGGATTCATTGTTGTGGTTGGCTTGAATGTGGTTTTTGGATTAAGTGTTGTAGTTGGTTTCAACATTGTGGTTTGCTTAGCTTTTGTTGGATTAACTGTTGTAGATGCTTTCACCGTTGTGTTTGGTCCAGCTGTTGTTGTTGGCTTGTTTGTTGTTGGGGGATTAACTTCTGTGATTGGATTAGATATTGTTTCTTGTTCCATGGTTGTTTTTGATTTAGTTATTGTTGTTAGCTCAGTTATTGTTTGTATAGTTGTGGTTGATTTAGCTGTTGTTGTTGGATTAACTGTTGTAGTTAGTTTTGTAGTCGTTGTTCGAGTAGCTATTGTATTTGGTTTAATTGCTGTTGTAGCATAAGATTTTGCAATTGAAGTAAATGTACTGTTTTCCATAAATATGGTTGATTTAGTCGTTGTTGTCGGTTTAGCTGTTTTAGTTGGTTTTATTGTTTTGGCATGTGTATCAGTTGTCGTTGGATCAGCTGTTGTAGCTTGTTTCATTATTGTGGTAGAGTTTGTTGTTGTTTTTGCAATATCCCTTGTACTTCGTTTCATGGTTGTGGTAGGCCACACTGTTGATGTTGTTGTTGGTCCAATCAATATGTTTCTTTCAGTTGTGGTTGGAGTGAATATTTGTGGAACAGATTTTTCTCTATTCATTGACGTGGCACCTGTTGTGGCTTCTTCCGATGGAAAAGTTTGTCCTGAAAAACAGAAATATGTAAGATTTCATACTTTAGCATTTAAAATTCAATAACCTGGATAATGTGTTTTATAGGATATAAATGTCAACCACTTAGGCTATATTATTGTGTCTTCAAAGGGTTTCCCCTTTAACACCGGATATGTAATAATTTTTCACAATGTTTCACACAATTTTTCTAATCTTTGTTATAACCAATGTCTTAGTAGGAATAATTTTACATAACTTCGTTATAATAGTTTTAGCAGGAATCATTTTACAGAACGTTTGCGTAATGAGTCTTAAGAGGAGACGTTATAATCAGCGTCATAACAACAGTAATTTTATAAAACAGTTTTAAGATGACATGTTACAGAACTTTGGTGTAACACGTACATCTTCTCAGGAGTCGTTTTTATGAAACATTGTTGCATTCAGTGTATTAACTGGAGTCATTTTATGAAACAGTTATAAACAGTCTCTTAATAGCTGACATTTTACAGAACATTGTTGTAATTAGTGTCTTAACTGGAGTCATTTTACGAAACATTGTTGTAATCAGTTTCTTAGCAGGAGTGGTATGCTCATAGTTCTAACATTTTTTTTTCTGTTTAAGTTGAATGTCAGAGAGAGAAGTTTCTTAACCCACTTACAGTTTCATTGTATGACATTTGAATTTTCAATAAAGGTTTTCTCTAAATTATTAAAAGACACTTTTATCGTTTTATTATTATTTCAACACATGGACTGAAAGACAATTTAATAAAACAAAATTGTCAATGTCAGGGTAATATTGAGTATAGTCTACAAAAATATTCAAGTCCGAACTATAAATTAATTCCAATTATTGTTTTAAAGTCTACGAAATATTTATGTTTTTTTTTGTAGAACTTTACCAGTTATATAAAATCATGTCACTAGTTCATTCTTTACTATTCGTACATTTTACGCTTTTATAGAACTATCAGGAGAAAAAAAAAATGTTTGATTTTTCTCTATTTTCAAACCAAATATCTCGCATTTATGAATAAAAAAATATCTTTTCAGGTTAAAGTATAAATCAAACATTTTAACGTGATAACCATAATGTATAGTGACCAAAAATACAAACAATCGCATTTAACAAAGAGCGAATGACCATCAAACTCCTCCTGGCTTTTCTCTGCCAGGCTTATATACAAAAAAAAGAGGGCGTCTCGAACAGATTCGGTCTCCCCAGATAATTCATGATCATTTGAGAAATTCATCACTGTCGTAACACTGCCCCTTCGTAAGTATTGTTCGTCCCTAACAATAGCCACTTACATTAAACAACAGATAATTTACAGACACAAAATTAAAATACAACAGAGTCTCTTAATTTTACAGGACGTTTCTTCTTTCGTATGGTCTGTATGGTCTCCGTCTTATTGGCTTCTGCTTTACGTGGAATTCATCTGCTTTAACAGGAAATGTCCCATTATCGGTAGTAGTCACATCAGTGGTAGTAACTTCATTAACGGCTTCACTGTTTTCCTTCTCAAAACCGGGTAGAGTTTCTTCTCCAACAGTGGCTTTTTCAGTTGATACGTCTTCAGCAGCGTCATTTGTTCTGTTGTTGATTTCGTTCCAACTGAAATGTCCTGGGCAGTGATAGCACGAAAGCCTGTTGGTATGCACCACCTTTGGCTTATCTCGTCGACCGCATTTTATTCGGAAAGTCACGTCTGAGAGACGATCCACTATGTCATATGGGTCTTCCCATGGAGAAGACAACTTAGGAGACTTCCCTTTGGTCTTCTTTGGATTATACAACCACACCTTGTCTCCTGGTACAAATCTGACTTCAGTAGATTTCTTATCATAGCATAGCTTCATGGAATCAGTAGACGTTTTTAAGTTTCAAAGCACTTGATGATGAATATCATCCATCCTTTCAGATAACACTGTCACGAACTCTGGTACATTTTCAGGCAACTCTTCGTAAGGTGGGCGTCCTGTTATGAGGTCCACTGGCAACCGAAGTTCCCGACCAAACATCAGTTTTTGTTGGAGTGTATCCAATGGCTTCTATAGGCCATCAGCAGTGGAGGGAGTAAGGCATATCATAATTATACTGGTCTCAATTTCCGATTCAACTTGCCAGTTGTCCCTCTGGATTCGTTAATGATCTTAACCAGCGTAATGCAGCAGGGTCTGTCCTAATGATAAACCTAGCCATATAGAG